TTTTCATTAGTTTCGTCAACACATTTTTATGCTATTTTGGATCTGGCCACCTGCGCATGTGCGCCCCCACCCTGGAGGCGGGGAGCATTACATCATATGACGCCTTGCGTGCGCAGCGATGGGTGCAAAAGGAGCTATGGGTGCAAAAGGAGCTAGCTACGGCTCTGCTCTGAATTCAGCTTTACCTACTTCTCTGATCTTTGCATTACTTAGTACACTGACCTCTGAATTCTGCATTACTTAGTAATCTAAGCTCTGCATTACTTCATTGAGATCTGTGTTACTTTCTTCTCTGAACTCTGCATTACATAGTACTCTGAGCTCTGTATTACTTAGTACTCTGACCTCTGAACTTTGTTTTACTTAGTACTCTGACCTCCGAACTCTGCATTACCTACTACTCTGATCTCTTTATTACTTCATACTATGACCTCTGAACTCAGTGTTTCTTTGTACTCTGAACTCTGAGTTACTTAGTACTCTAAGCTCTGCATTATTTACGTCCCTGACCTCTCTGATCTGCGTTACTTACTACTCTGAACTCTGCATTACTTAGTACTCTGAGCTCTGCGTTACTTACTACTCTCATCTCTGTGCTACTTAGTACTCTGAGCTGTGCATTACTTCTCTGACCACTTATATTTGCATTACTTACTACTGTGACCTCTTCATTGCTTTCTTCTTTAAACCTCTGAACTCTGCGTTACCTACTAATCTGACCTTTTAACTCTGTGTTACTTAGTACTTTGAACTCTGCTTTACCTACTACTCTGATCTGCACTACTTAGTACTCTGACCTCTGAGCTCTAGCATTACTTGGTACTCTGAGCTCTGCATTACTTATGTCTCTGAGCTCTGCGTTACTTAGTACTTTTAGCTCTGCATTTACTTCTCTGACCTCTCCATTACTTTGTACTTTGACCTCTGAATGAATTAGTACTCTGAACTCTGCATTACCCATTACTCTGACTTATGCATTATTTTGTGCTCTGAGCTCTGCGCTACCTACTACTCTGATCCCTGCACTCTGCATTACCTACTATTATGCGCTCTGCATTACTTAGTACTGGCCTCTGAGGTTTGTGTTACTTACTACTCTGACCCCTGTGCTTTTTATTAATTACTGCTCTGCACTCTGTAGGACTTACTACTGACCACAGCACTCTGCATTGCCTGCTGCCTACTAAAATGTGGGTGTGACTTGTGGGTGTGGCTACAAATGGGTGGGTCATGTTTTGTAGGTATAGTTATTAGTTGGAGTAGTCAGTAGGGTGTCCCCGGATTTATATTTTAAAATCTGGTGACCTTATGTCAAGCCAAAATTTTAAAAAAAGATACGTAGGACATTTCTGTAATAGATGCATAAATCCTACTGTTTTAACCCAAAAAAGACTCTGCAAGTACTGAAAGATACCTCTGGGTCTGGCAGAAAGGCACTCTGCTTTTAAGTCCTGTTGTTGAGCCCACAACACACACCACTTTGAGGTCTCAGCCCTACCCAGAGACTTTTGCTAAACTACTCAACAACTCCCATTCTCAGATCTCTGCAACATAAAGGCTAATCTTTCCATAGTCAAAGATAAGGACTAGGAGGGTAAATAAGCTCCTTAAGATAACACAGAAATAGTGCAGAGGATTCAGGACAGTTCTGGGTTTTTGACAAGATCAACAGGTTCTTTGGAATTTATCAGATGGATATAACAAAATCCTTCCAAGGATATATTCATCAGACCAAAATGGAGCAAATCAAAGAAGTTCATTGTTAGGGCTTCCATGCACTTTAGGAGGTTCTGATACACACTAGGGAGATTTCATAAAAACTGCAGAAGTTGCTAATGGCAACCAATCAGCTTTTCTTTTCAGTTTGTTTAGTTATGCTTTGTAAATGAAAGAGCACCTGATTGGTTGCCATACACAGCTGCTCCAGACAGAGCCGTAGCTAGCTTCATTTTGCGCCCGAGGCAAGAACAAAAAAAGTGACCCCCCCATCAGGCGTGTGATCCTCGCTCTCCATCCTCAGCCACTCGGCCATGCACAGAGGGGTGACGCAGCCTGCAGCTTCTTCTTGGATCCCCGCTGTTCTCCCCTGCCTGTATGGGCAGAGGCAGTGGGGATCCGAGGAGAAGTGAAGCGCTGAAGCCTGCAGGGGGTTGCTGGAGGAAGGAGCATGTCACGTCAGGATGGCCGAGCGGTGAGGAGAGAGTGAGCTGTCGGTTGTCAGATCCTAGCCGAGCAGCTGTCTCCTCACCGCTCAGCCATCCTAAAGTGACTTCAGTAAAGCAATTCACTTCTCCTCGGATCCCCACTGACTCTGCCCATTCAGGTGGGGGAGAGCAGCGTGGATCCGGAGAAGAAGCTGCAGGCTGCGCCGCCCTACTTCTCCCTGCCGCACTGAGCCCTGGCTGCGCCCACCTCGCACCTGAGCCGAGTGCCTCAGTCGCCTCGCCTCAGCTACGGCCCTGGCCCTGGCTCTAGATTCTGTCTGCTCCAGTTTTTATGAATTTCCCCCATTGCTTGTATAATCCAACAGAAGAAACATTATATGAATGACTATATACACTGAGTGGCCAGATTATTATGACCACCTGACGTTTGTAGGCAAATTAGCTATTATTTCGCGCTGAAGTTGCTAGAGGGCCAGACCATTATAAATAGGGAAGCAGGTTGTTTACCACGACAGTAGAAGTGATTTTTTTTCTGAAGATATGGGTAAACAACGCGATTTAACAGCCTTTAATCGTGGGATGATTGTTGGCGCCCGGAGCCATGGAGCGAGTATCAGCAAAACAGCAGAATTCGTTAAATGTTCAAGAGCAGCTGTTGTTAAAGTGTTTAAAGGGGTTCTAAAGCTTCCCGTTTTTTGCCTATATCTACTGCTCACAAGCAGTAGATATAGACAAAAAGGTTTTTTTTTTTAAACGCTTAAACAGCGGTTTAGACTGACCTTATTATCGCTGCGCGCTTCCGCGGTGAGAGTCCAGAACTGTTCGTGCGGCCGCAAAGGTTCTTGGGGCGGGCGCATGCGCAGTTCGACTGGACAGTGCTATTCATCAGCCATGGTGTCAGATTCCTCGCATCACCTTTCAACATCTCGTGGAGTCAATGCCAAGAAGAATCGCTGCAGTATTGAAGGCAAAAGGCTGCCCAACGAAGTACTGATGGGGTAGTCATAATAATCTGGCCACTCAGTGTAATGTATAATGAATGTCCAAGACAGTACGAGATTGTCAGGTTAGTTTACAACAGATCAGCAACTAAGTGTGCCTTGAAATTATTTTAAAAGAGAAGTAACACAAAACTTTTTTTTGGCTTACTTCTCTTTTGGGTCATAGGAGTACTTTTGCTAATGTCCTCCTATGACCCAACTTAGCATATAGTGGGCTACTGCTGTTTCTATCCTGACTGCAGAGCGGCTTTGCAGCTGGGAAGGATCCTGACAATATTGTCAGGACCCAAACAAGCGATCGACAGTCACATGATTACTCAGCTCTTGATATATAGAACCGGAATGTGACAGCTGCAGTGTGCCACGCTATTTCTAACAGTTACCATACACTTTAGAATCTGACTGTGCAATGTCTGTACAATTAACTTTAGATTTACCAAAACGAAGTAATATGAGGACCAGCCTAATTTAACCGATCAGTCTGTACTCAATCAGACAGGCCCTTGCACTTAAACTATTGGGTCAGTGTTTTTCCCCATAGTTCTCCTTAGGGTAACGGGAGGACACAAACTAGCATCCTCCCGTTACCCTAAGCTCAGTATACCGCGAGCTACAGCTCGTGGTATACTGAGACACCGCAGCCGGAGCGTATCCCGATGTAGATGATGGGATCCGCCCAGCTGCGTGAGTGACAGCTGGCTCTGCCTATCTAAAGGCAGAGCCAGTTGTACCCGCCCCCTCCCCATCTGATCCGCCAGTCGGCGCTGGCAGATCGGAGCGGGAGGGGGGAATCCAGCCCCTCCCCTATCACAGCAGAGAGCCGTGACAGGATCGAGAGGCGAGCGAACCCGGTTTGTGTTCGCTCACCTCCCGATCTACTGAGCCGACCTGTTACAGTCTCATTGTCACAGGTCGGCTAGAACTATGAGGTGAGTGAAAAGCACTCACCTCATAGTTCTCCTTTAAGACTCCAGTATGCCAGTCTAAAGAAGTACCAAATCAGTTACTATGTGATGCACAAGCGAACAAAAAAAGATTCCTTTACCTTCTGTGACTGAGCCAAATTCTCCTTAATTTGGGCCTTACACGCTCCCCCTCCCAGACACCGCAGTTCGCAGAGGCAGTGGACAGGACTTGGCTTGGTCAGGTGCTGATGGACAAGCTACAGGCTCGTGAATCAGCAGTGACAATGCTGATAGCCATGCACCCTACAACATTTTCTCATTTCACTTTAGCTCATGCAGGCACAGCTTACACAAAAGTGACAACTCTGCTCTGAGTTCTGGAGCAGTGCAGCATTGTTGTCACAAAATCAAACAGGGGTTCCTGGGGGTTGGGGACCCCTGGTTTAGAGGATGGGCTAGTGTGAATGGGACCTAAAACTTTCCATGCGTTACATTAATGTGCAGAATGGCATGAGCATTGTGTTATGGCAGCCCATTCATAGTGAATGATTCATGATGAATGCACCAAAAAGTATGGCTTCCAAGCATGACCCTGTTTTTCAAAATGAAGCACATCACAGCACACGGTATATGCATTGGGGTGCATTGCAGTGCGTTGGTCAATGCGTTGCCATTGTACACAATGAATAGCACCGCAATGCTTTGCACATAGCTCAAGTACACTGCCATGGCAACATATGCACTTTAGCGCACAAGTGTATATGTGCCCTCACCTAAGTCCTTTGTAATATGTACCCTTTATACTCTCACAAAGGTGGGGGTGTGGTATAGGAGGCTTCAGGGGGTGATTCAGTGTACTTTATAGTAAAAGTGTACATGTCCTTTAACTGCACTGTATACAGAAGTGTGACCAGGAAGGTTCCGGCCTGATGGCTTCTTACTTGGTGCACAGAGACTTGAATATCTCCTTCTACCCAACCCACTGCCAGCTGCTGTCATCCACCACATGCTTCAGGGAGCTCACCAACTCCTCCGGGAACGTCTACATGCCCCCTCACCCTCAGCGCTGTACCCAACTGGGAAATGTAGCACAAGGGCGGCAGGGAAAAGTTACTACAGACCACGGCTTTGGCCTACGATCACTGGAGCCTCCTGGGACTACTCCTGGTAGAATCCTGTAGCCCAGTTCGGTACCAGTCTGTGACCCGGGGGTTGGAGACCCCTGCACTACAGAATTCTACACTGCATAAGTGAAGCTACTACTAGGTCCTTGTTCAATCAAGGACAGATAGGTGCATCTCAATCCATAGTTATTGGGAAGACATCTACTGTCTATGGCAGCAGTGGGCAACTCCAAACCCCCAGCTTTCACTATAAATCCTCACATGCCTCTGCCTCTGGGAGTCATGATTGTAACTGCAATCTTTTAATGCCTCATGGGATTTGTACTTCCACAACAGCTGGAGTTGCCCATACCTGGCCTATGGTCATCCTAAAGTTACAGTGGGAGACGGATTGTCCAATGGCAGTGGTTGCCCGTTGAGAACTATTGTTATCCCTGCTCTGCTCAGCTATACGTTAGTTATTTTATCACATAGTAGCATAAAATAAGCCCCCTTATTAAAACTGCAACATTGAGGGGTCTATTGATTATCTATTCACAGGGCCCTTTAATGTTCAATCTGTGAAACTATATGCCAAAATGACTGTTCTGTAGTTGTTTTCTTTTACAAAGCAATGTATTTTCCAATTTAATACCACATTATGGGCAATAGATGGAGCTACTTATTTCCTATGCTCCATTAGCTCCATCTAGTGGTCATAATGTAATATTAATGAAAACACTTGAAAACCCATTGCACATGTAGAGAATGAGCTAAAGAATGTTCCTTTTGACATATATTCACACAGAGCGAACATTCACAGATATGCATAGATATTCACAGGGTGAAGGGCTCGCAAATTGTTTATAAATTGTTTATAAATAGACACCATAGATTTCAATGTGTTCCAAATGAGGCAACTGTCAGTCTCCATGGTCCCTGTGTGTGTTGTAAAGTAGCCACCGCCCCAAGCTTGTTCATGTGATGGACTACAATCTCTTGTTTATTGTACTCATTTGTATTGAAGTTATAGTCTATCACAGGAGTGAGCTTGGAGTGGTGACTACTTTACAACACACACAGGGACCATGGGGAACAAAAGTAGCCACCCTCCAGAAGGAAGGACAGTGTCATCACCAATTCAGAGATGATTTGAGGATCTACAGCTGAGTGATACACAAATACGCTACATTTGTGTTAATAGTTAAGGTACTTGAATGCATAATTAATGCATTTTAACCCAAAGCCAAACTATAGGTTGCCTAAATTACTCATGCTTATTGCTGGGGAAGCAGGTTTTATGTGATCTCCACTGTAGTTAAAGCAATGTCCCTTGGTTGAGGACACATCCCAGTCTGTGATTGGATAATGAAGGTGCAACTGCTCACAGGTAAAGTCATCCTTCTGTTCTCTCCTACCATCCACTCTCCACTAAATTCCTGTTAGACAGAAAACACCATAAAGTGCTGCAGAACCAGATTATCTTTCTGTTTCAGTCTGTCTTCTACCAAACGGGATTAGAGAAGGCTGATATAAGCATACATTTGTATCCTATTTTAATATACATATAAGGATTCTGAATAAATACATAACTGGAATAAATAGCTGTATGTATATCTTCCTAGAGTTCTGTTTTAGGTTTAGTCTTTATTACTAGTTTAGCCTTTAATATATTGTACATGAAATCACAAGCTCTGATTTATTTTTAGGGTAGCTTCATGTTCAGTTCATTTTGGAATTCCACCTTATGGCAGGCAGCTGCACCTCTTTCATTATGTTCTTGATTCTTGTAGAAAAAATCATAAAAGGTGTTCAAGTCAGAGTTCTAAGTTTCTAAATTTGGAATAACTGAAACTTGTAGGGACTCCTCTGGCAAGCTGTTGACAGTTTCCCTTCTAATTAAAAGCGGAAAGATAAAAGAACATCTGAGTTGATTAGTAGACGGTGTTCAGACAGGATCATCTAGTAAAAGAAATGCTGACATATGCTTGACGTTCAAGGATGAGGAAAAACAAGAGTTTCACTGGCTTATTCAAGGTTAAAATACTGTAAATTGCCTCAGCCTTAAAGGAGAACTAGGGGGTTAAGTCTTTTCCCCATAGTTCTCCTTGGGGTAACGGGAGGACACAAACTAGCGTCCTCCCGTCACCCTAGGCTCAGTATACCGCGAGCCGTAGCTCGCGGTATACTGAGACGCCGCAGCTGAAGCGGATCCCGACAATTGTGCCGACAATTGCTCACCTCCCGATCTACTGAGCCGACCTGTGACAGTCTCATTGTCATTGGTCGGCTAGAACTATGAGGTGAGTGAGTCACTCACCTCATAGTTCTCCTTTAAGGTGGCCATACACTTTACAACCATCGCAAGACCTTAGTCTTGCGATGGTTGTAAAGTAATTTTAAAAACGTACGATCTGCCCATCTCAGACAGGCAGATCGTACATGCGATCATCGCAAGCCCGCCCCGCTAAGGGGCGGGCTTGCGATGACCGCAATGCTGAACGGGCAGTGTGCGCGTGCGCACACCGGCCCTTTCGGCATTTGTCTCCCGAGCATGCCACAAACCAGCCGAAAATCGTAAGATTTTCGGCTGGTTTTCGAACATGCTCCTTAGACAAAAGACGTGCGACCGTACAGTAAAAACGGTTGCACGCCTGCCATACACTTTGCGATTATCGTACGATCGTTGGATTTCCAGCGATTATCGTGCGATAATCGCACAGTGTATGGGCACCTTAAGCTATATTGATGTAGTGTGTGACAAGAGAAATCTTGATTCTGCAAGCATAATTATTCTTCCCTTGGTAAACTTTTTAAAATATGGCATGTTTTACTGAGAATACATCAGAATCAGGTATGAGAGTGAATACAGTTATGTTTCTTGTTTCCTTTGAGGACCGGTTTACACCACAAAAAGTGCGTTCCAGAGCGGTCAGCCTCTGGAACACACTTTATAGCAACCCGGCCGTCTCCCTGAAGAGTGGTGGTGCATTGAAGTCAATGGCACCGCGGCCATGCCCCCCACCCGCAGTGCGATCGCCTGCACCTGAACGTAAACATGTTCTCTTTATTGAACCTGTCATCTCCAATACAGGAATTCTAGCACAGTACTGTGCTGGAACTCCTGTGACAGGTGAGAGGGGAAGAGCACAGCTCTCCCCTCTCACTGTCTACACGGAGCGGCAGGGTTACTTTTAACCCTGCTGCTCTGCTCACCGCTCTCTATCCTGAAGGCGGCGGCGGCGAGGACGGAGCCGGGAAGACGCGGCATGGAGAGAGTAGCCACCGCTCCAAGCTCGCTCCCGTGATAAACTACAGTCTCAATACAAATTAATTAAGTAAACGTGAGATTTTAGTTCATCACAGGAGCGAGCTTCATTTGATGATCTAAAGCCGAGTGATACACAGATAAGCTACATTTTTATTATTAAAGATACTTGAATGCATTTTTAGGATTGAACTCCTGAGGTTAGTGTCACTTTAAGAACAGTCAGACATATGCCAATCATTATGTAGAACTGCATACATTGTGAGCAAATCTAGCTTCCTCAGGGTACTTATATATTTTATTAATATTATTGACATCAATCTGATCACTTTCACATACATGTCCAAATAAATAAAACATGTAAAAGACCATAGTTTGCTTATTTTTAAGATAGGACATTTCTAAAAGGATGGCAAAAAGAATACCAATAGAGGAATCAAAAGGGTCGTTTGGGTAGTTTGAATTTGAGGTAGTGCATGGCCTACTGGCTCACATGCTTTATCATTTAGAACTGCATGTCATCTGATCTGAGCTCTGTGGGTGGCCTGTAGTATTGCATGTTAGGGCAAGGATAGTTAATTGGCCCTAGGTTACTTTAATTGTTATCCTAAAGTTAACAGTAAACTTCTCTCACTTGCTGACTTTTGGTAATATGACATTAAAAGAGTTTTGTTACACTGTATCTGTTTGATCGTTTTGATCCTGCCAAAAAATTGTATGAGCTGATAACTTCTGTGCTCTCTGCCTGCTCTGACTGCGATTTGTTTCCATCTATCTCTAGACATAAAACATTTCCCAAAATATTATAGAGAAGAGTAGAGTGGTAGGTGTTCTGTAGTCCTTCCTACTAATAGATGCTATACAATGAGTGAGAGTTTTTTTCCCTAGTGCAAGAAAAAAAAAAAGCAAAAAAAGAATGCAGCCACCACATATAAGGACTGGTAGGCTGCAATATATTACACTTATGCTTTTGGGTTTTTTTTTTCTTTTCTTTTAAGCCTTTTTGTGTACTGCAATGCCCAGTTTGGGCAGTAAAAATGAAGAAAATAGCAGGCAAGGTAATGAAAGTGGTATGCATGTTTCTATTCTTGCCCATCCATATATGATGGATGACCCAATAAATAAATACATTCAGCAATGTTAATATACAAAGAATTCTTGTTTATGAATGCATTTAGAAAAATAGAAAAAGATCAGTTACAAAAAAAAACAAGAACCAAATGCAGATCACCTTGAGGCGTATTATACATCGTTTTGTTCGTGACTTATAGGGCTTTAATTTAGTAGAAAATCTAGATACATATGTTTTTATTCCCTTGGGTTTTATAGGAAATAAATAGAAAAAAGTAAATAGAAATTGCATTTTCCTGTAATTTTCCCCAATATGTTTGTGTAATTTGCACACCACCATTAATGCAAAATTGAATATACTGTGTGTGTATATAGATATAGATATATTTATATATCTATATATACATAGATATATCTATATATATATATTTATTATATTCATATATACTGTATATTTATTTTCTATTGTGTCTGCACTTTTTAAAATGCAGCTGCGAAGCAGCAGATCACTTTTAATTAGGGATGCACAGATTCTGGTTTTTCGGTATTGAGTACAAGTACCAATATTTTTTCTGCGGTACTCGTCGATACCGATATACCGGAAGTCCCATTAAGGAAGCCAGGCGGCGTGTAGAGACTCACCACCCGGCTTTCCGATTAGCAGGGAAGCCGTCTCCATGCTTCCTCGAGCCATTACCTGTCCCCCGGCTTCCTGATTAGCAGGA